TCCCTTACCCATTAGGTATACTTGCTCTTCTTCAACCCTCGACTTTTTCGTGAAATCCTCCTTCAAAGCGCTACATTCGTTAAGCTAGACCTACATTCCTTTCTGTTAAATCTAAAATGAAACTTTTCCTTTTCACTTTTTTACTTCAGCTCCCAATGAAATAATTATTGTTTTAGTTGGTAGAATTAGAGAGTGTTGTTGTTATGGCGTCGTTTTGTTTGTTTCTCACGACTACCTTACGCAGTGTCACAAACAAATAAATAAAAGAACCTCGGTATTGCGGTGTTTCGTCGGTAGCGTGACTGGTTTGGCCGTGAATAAGCCGAAAAGGGCAATGTGCACGGTTAGGCTGAAAGTCACAAACAACTACCCGACCACCTGATCGATGTCACGTTGCCATAAATGCGGTTATTGATGTTTACGTTGTTTTGCTTTTCAGTTGCTTTCATCAGTCCAAGGTTGTATGTTCGGTTATTCGCGACGTTGTGATAACCGTGATAAATGCTTGACATTAACTCCGATGGGGGTGCGCCGCGCATTCGACTTGCATGTAGTATCGTAGTTGCATTTGATCGCCTCGTAAGAGTGGAGAAAAACACAAGCCATAAGTTCAACCCCGTCTGGCCTCAGTATTTCATTGTACGAGCCCTTGCACATCCAAATGATTGTACGATTCTAGAGGAAAGCCAAATGCATGGCGCAGTAAAATTGGTTGATCAACGCTGGATAATTTCCATTTTCAAAAAGGTCCGTAAAATCTGGCTAATGCCCCAAGTGTTTTTTAAGAGGTCGCTTTGTAAAGGAGTAGAAGGGTCTTAGTTGTTCTGGACGGGGTTTGGTCCATGGATCGTATCACCGTCACCTTTGCTTGCCATTGCGCCATCCTTCCGTCATATTCCTGAATGGTTAGCAGTAACGTTCGGTGTCATTCCTCCAGGACGTCAAGTGCACTCCAATGTCCAGTTTCAGCTGTACATGAGAGCTATCGAATTGATGCCCCCGCCATTGATAATATAATATAGTATTACTGAATATCAATAAATACAGCGTTAGCAGCTTAGGTAAGGCACGAGGGGCATCGATAGTGAATGAATAAGCACGGTGTTCGGGAGAAATTAAGGCTGCTTGGCGGCCCGTCGAAGGCCGATCAATTCACCTTTGATTGAGCGTCCTTGTGGTCGAACCTAGTAGCATCTACTGTTGCATTTTCAAGTTTTCATTCACTATTGAGTTCATCAAAAGAATGGGCGGAGTCCTCATGTGGGCGTGGCTTCACTGATTGCCTGTGAGCATGTGTGCGTTCCTTTAAACTCGTGTGTGTCAATGTAGAAATACAGACACAAACCAATTGTCGTGGAGCGACTTTAACTCGTGGGTCTGGTCTAGGGCAGGGTTGGAAATTAGCTGGTTAAAGGAGTATACACGATAAGGTAGAAAGGGAAAGAACTCGAAAGGCGGACGGACCTCTAAAGGGTACTGCACGACGCGCATTTCGCAGCGAGGAGTGCGCCCACCTAGTAGCGGCGCCATTACCGCTTTACGCACTGCCACCCTCTTCTCCGTCTGACCTGGCTGTCTTTCAGAGAGAGCAATTTTAAGCGTTGAAGAGAGAGCAGCTGATGACAGTCCCACATAAATGCGGGAATCAACGTTTAGAAAAGGGCTCCATTTCTCGGTTCTTGGCCGTTTCCCATGGGTTTTCCGTCATCATCGACCACCATTACCTTGGTTTTCAATGGGCTACTTATCGTAAAATTTCTCCTTTAGCTCGCTTTAACCCTTGACTACTGGTGGGACACATGTGTCCATAAGAACACTACCACAGTTCCAGGGAATATTGAGGCAGGAGGGCTCATTTGATGGCTGAACTGTGCACATATAGAAGCTTTCTAATTCCTACTATGACAATTAGTCGTCAGAAGCTAAAGCGAGTCATCCTGCGTAAGTTAATCTTTGACTACTGGTGGTACACATGTGTCCCACTTCGTAGTCAAAGACACTACCACAGTTCCAGGGAATATTGAGGCAGGAGGGCTCATTTGATGGCTGAACTGTGCACATATAGAGGCTTCCTAATTCCTACTATGTTCCCAAGTTTTCAGAAAAGCTTGGCGAACGTGGCAGCTTTGAGTTTGCGGTAAATGGAGCTGGTACGCTGTGTGCCCGTTGGAAGACTGCAAGGAGGTCCTGGTAGTCAGCAATTGTCACGCTGACTACAACGCATGTGTTGCGCACAATGAAGGATGGATCGCGAAAAGAAGTTGAATGCCCTGAAGCTGTCTCCTTCTACAGCAGCATAATGGGCGGAGTAGATCTGTCTGATCAGAAATGTGCACTTTACGACTTCAATAGACGTTCCAGAAAATGGTGGTAAGGTGTACTATAAAATACTACAGGTGGCGGTTGTAAACGCATGGATAATATATCAGGAAATCCATCACGAGAAAACGAAGCTGATCAAATTCCTTGTTCCTCTTGCTCAGCAAATGATTGCGCAGGGGAGGGAAAGGACGGCTAACAGGCGCAAGCCCGGCATGGGGAGGCCACCAAAAAATTTCAGGAGGATCATCAACGTTGGGGACCATATGCCACTACAGTTAAAAACGCGTCGGCGATGTAGATACTGCGCGATGTCAAAGAAAGAAACTCGTACAAAAATAATGTGTGCTGCTTGCAACGTGCCCTTGTGTATATCATGTTTTACTCCGTACCACTCATAGACCATATAATGTTGACCTTTTCAAACTTTTTTTGTAAAAGTTTTCGGGTCATTGAAGACTTTAATATTGTAAAAAAATGTGTGGTTGTAGAATTGCCAATTTATTGAACAAAAAAATCATCCGAGCGGAAATGGTGTTATGACAAGACGGGCCGCTACCGCGCGCATGGTCCCTAGATCAAATCCCAGGTCACACCCAACGTACATCAGCCAAATTTCTACAGCTGGTTGCCTGTTGCTGGGAGGGATAATTGCAACGCAGAACACATTTATAACTCGATTCTAAAAAAGTCGTAGTCTAAGGGTAAATGTGCGCTCCTCGTGCAGACCCACGTTTTCGGCATTGTTTTTTTTGTTTACGAATTTTTCTCCTTCATTTCCAATTGAATTGTCCTGAAAAGGTTCCAGTCATCATGATTTTGAAATTGTATGCACGTAATGTGCTCAATGCTGTTGTTTCGTCAATTTATGCCATTGTTTGATGTCGCTCTTTTTGGTTTTGCTTAGCTAGCCGATCTTGGTTCGGAACGATTGTTCTCCTAGAACTGTTTTCACTAGCGGAATGAGAGAACACGATTAGGTAGCTTGAGCAGTACTGAGTCACAATAAACTACTGCGAACTGCCCAGGTTACAGTATGGGGAAAAAGTAAAGCGATCTCCAAATGAACTGCGAACAGTGATGCCCCTTATGGTTAGAAAAAGTAAACAAGTATTCACTATTAAAAATGTCGCTTTCCAATTTTTTTCCCATGAACAATTTATTACAGTTTGCCCCAGAGAGGGAGAGCTCGAAGGAATACTCTGCGTCTTTAGCCTTGCTTTCGTGTTAAATACAATTTCTTATATTAGTACTTTTATTTTTTATTACTATTTTCTAAAATATCACAGATTATTTCTCCCGAGTTCGAATTACACAAAAAAACCTTTTTTTTGACTTTCTACCGTAGAACCCAGTTCATCGAGGTCGTTCTAAAAGTCCTTGGAGAACGTCGCTATTGCATGAATTGCCTAATGATCACGGCTAAACATACCTTTTCTGCGGCCAAGAATTGCCGTAATGCAGACTTGTGCCTGCAGGCATGGCATCAGCATGCAAAATCATCCTTACGACACATTTTCATTATCGGGCTTATCGATTTAAAGAGACTGTCCACTGTGCAACTGGCTTTTCATTCATCGACAGGATCATACTTCTAGAGCTTTCAACGCTATGCCAGTCCACCACTGTGCTCGCATATCGATTTTGGCGCACGGCTGCACTGATAAATCTGTTTTCCACCCCCCATTGTCGTCCAACGCTGCGAGTGTAGGACTTTAGGGATTTGAGGTTGATTGAAGCGTTTTAAAAGGACTGATGAGCGTAATAATTGAAAAGAATTACCTGATGGATATATTAGAGATCTCAATTGGCCATTAGAGAAATGGTTTTCGCCTCATTGAAATACGAGGGTGCAATTGTGCGATTCGCTTCTACTGTGTGACCTTGCACCAATCGCACTTTCTATGCCTTTTTCGAAAACGATTCACATGTCCTTGAAAGGAGCGAGAAGTGGAAAATACATATAGGCAAAAGGAAGGTGTGCTGACCAGTCAAAGCCGTTTTCTTTTCGAATTGATGGCTTTTATTCCATAGCTTAAGATCCTCTTCTAGTTTAATTTGATCGATGGATTTATTTGTAGATTTCCAGCTGTCAAAATATTGATGTTGAATTCGGACTCATTTCTCCTTTTTATGGATAACTGTACTCCATACTCTCCTTAAAAGTCAAGGACCGGCTTAGCTTCACTGAGGAGTCCCTCACGTGGATAGGGTGCGCCAGGTCCGCCAGTGCAGTAATCGGTCACTGCCACACTAGGTCACTGTCGCTATGACGTTGGGCGCTTAGGACTTGACGTCCCAACGCCCAGAAGGTATTGCATCCCCCCCACTGTTTCGTTGGCTGTGCGCAGTGTTGGTTCGCTTATGTTGTCTCGATCAGCTTTCCCCCCTTTTCCCTCTCCGCGATTCAAACGATCTCTTATTCCGCTGTTTGGCTCCTAGACATCTCCGCAGCATAGAGCAAGTGGTAGCATATTGTCATTTTTTTTATTCGGTGTCATTTAGTCGTGATCCTTACCTTCAATCCATTACATGTGACCCCGCCTACGTAATATGGTCCCATTAGGATCGTCGTGTGCACTGCCTTGACACAATTTTTTCATCCATTATTTCTCGTCAATTATTGCTTGAAATCGGTGCGCTGTTTTCTTCGATTTTCCTTATACCATTTCTTATTTCAGATGTGGGACCGTACTTCTATACTGTTATTAATAGTACTGCTAGCGAATCCAGTACTTCCGAGACGTGCGTCCAGCGGCGGTGGTTTTTCATCGAGAGGCGGCGGCTGCCCGCCCGCAGGTTTCCGTAGGTCTGGCTTGAACGTCGTTTTCGATTTGTTTCTCAAATTTCTATTGGTTACCAGACGATAGCATCGTTTTGTAGAGGGATATTATGTGGGTTATATTATGCAAATGGGTGTAGGTCAGGAGATCCAGATTGCAGCGGTGTGACGATAGCGACGTTGCAGGTGGAGTCGCGCGCGCGAAATTTGAGCTGGGACGTACCACAATCAGTAAAGGTCTCTTCCATCCATACTTGAGTGCGGCGTGAAAATTGTTACATGAAAATACCGATTACTGTAATGTTTTCCATTTTTCCGCTTCTTTCGATTTTTGATTTTCGGGTGCTAACTTAGTTGGGGGGGCCACGCGGCGGCGCGGCAGTCTGCTCACCTGGGCTCTCTCGAACGAGACAGTGTAAACTCGAACATTCCAGCTTTTCACGCATGTCAAGTGACTGCCCCCACCCCCCACCCCCCCCCCCTAGACTGGCTACACTCCCCCTGGCCCACGGATTTCCGAACATGCCAGGCGAGCAGACTGCCGCGCCGCCGCGTGCCCCCCCAACTAAGTTAGCACCTTATTTTCTTATCCAACGAAAATCACAATGCATTCCATATTATTAGATGTTACAGTAAAAGAAAAGGAAAAAATTGCTCTGAGATTTTTGGGGTACTGTATAATTGCCACACTCCCTAATTGATTTGACGCCAATGCGCTACTACAGACGACGTCGGTCAGCTGAGAAATCTGCACGCTGCCGCAGTGCGGATCTCCTGACCCCATCCACACCTTAGATCGCGGTAATGCTCGGACAGCAGCGATCAACATTCCTTCTTTGAACAAATGAATGCTCTTCAGCGTATATTAGGCACTATGTGATTTAGTGGGGTCGGGGAAGGTGCTTATCATATTGCCTCAGGGTAGTGATAACCCTCAACTAGACATCGATAACCCAAGTTTGCTAGCTTGACAGGGTGGGGGACTATGGGTAGAATGAGCCAATATTTTCCTTTTCCGCAAAGTCCGCCATGTCCCTTGCACAGGCTAAGGTCCTTACCCCATTTGGGACTTCGCAGTACTGAGAGCTACCGAAAAGCGGGCGGTATGGCGGATAGACCCGAGTCATGTTTCTCAAAAATTCCGGGGTTATGGCAGGGTTCGGCTCTATGGGGAGATGGTGAAGGGCTCAAATTGGCACCATGTATTCTGGACTATGCATTAGTCCAGTGCGCTATCGATACTTCACGCAGCTTCGCTTACCTTTTCTGTGCTGTACTTACTAGAATTGTCAATAGTCTCATCTGTTATGTGATGTGTCAGCTGTCGACCGCTGTTCGCCGAGTGTGACCGAAGCTTAAGCTTGATTTTAATTTTTTTTGCTGGGTTCCGATTTATGGCTTTTGTTCGTAGAGTCACTGTGGAATGTCAACTGTCCTATTAAAGCTTCCCCCACATCTTCCAGGTCTCGACAACCGCCACTTCTCCTGCTCGCCTCACCTCTCCCCGGCGACCTCACCACCATAGCTTGTATTTCCACTCTATTCGATTCTGAGACCAGGTGACACACTCCAACTCCTCCCCAAAATTTCTTCAAACTGTCATCTAACGAAGGATGGGTCATAGTTATAACTGGATGACAGATGCTCTAGTTCTGTGTATTTCATGCAGTCCCTCTAAAAATGTAAAAAAAGGCCTCTCACTGCAGCCCGCATCATTCTCCTTCACGCCCTCTAAAAAACTCAAAAGCGACCTCCCCTCCTTTTTACCAATAGCAAATTCCGCAAAAAACAAAGAATCGAGATCGCTCCTGCGGGCTTATCCACCACCACAGACGGTTGACCCATGAAGTAAGGGTTTGGGACGTTTCTCACGAAAATGACCATAACTAGAGTGGCTTATTGCTATAGCAAATGCCGGTGGTCAGGGTAGTTACGGTTATGTGCCGTTATGCTACGGCCCTTTTCGTGAGAAATGTACCCACCCGCCACGTAACCCTTGTTTGCTTGGTGGTTTACGCTTTTTCAGCTTTCACATTCGCTTTTTTTTGTTTTTGCCAACTAACCACGGCTTGCTTTTCACAGGACGTGCTAACAGTGGAAGTGTCGCCCGAGGTGGTGGAATAGCTTCCACCTCTGGAAGAAGCGGTGGTTCGTTTCTTCTTACTTGGTTTTTTATTGCTCTGCTCAAGCTATTGCACCAAGTTTCCGACCTCAGCTTCCCAACTTTTTGGTTTTCATTTTATTTTGGTTCCTCTTATTTTTTTCAGTATGGGTCTCATCCAGTAGGGGGGGAGGAGAAGGGGCTCCGCGGTAAAATGAGCGTTCAACACTTCAGAACCACAAAATCACGACCCATGGTAGCATTGTTTTTTGTGAACGTTTGGGATCGGCCTTAGAAAGGGTAGGGAAGAACCCCAGCTTCACATCATTTTTACGGATCTTTGGAAACTGTACCTGATTTTGATCCCAATTGAGGCGTAGGCCTTTACTTGGTGTCATTGCATTCGCATCGTGAAGCGCTATGAAAAGTGCATTCACTAGGGGGAAATATATGAATGTCTTTTGCTGTCATTGTTCATATGGAGATCATTCAGGGCAGCCCGGAGGCGGTGCTGGCGGTTTCCATCCACAGCCGAATCAAGGCGGATTCCACCCGAATCAAGGTGGATTCCATCCGCAACCAAATCAAGGTGGTTTCCATCCCCAAGGTGGATTCCACCCTAACCAAGGCGGGTTCCATCCCAACCAAGGAGGGTAAGTATCTACAACTACTTTTGTGTCGTCTTGGTCCATCAGAACAGTTCTTCAGATTCCGCCCTGGAAGTGGTGTCGGTTCACCGGCTAGCAGTGGAGTGTTCAAAAAAGCTCTCATCGGAGGAGCTCTTGGAGCGGTTGGAGGTAAGCTGAAGGTTTTCTTTTTTCACGATACCCTAAAATCTAATAGATAAGAGCGCTCAAAAGATAAAAGGGCTCTGTCTGTGCTTCTGCTGGATGACTACTAAGCGGTAAGATAGATAACGATTAATGTAAAGTGAGTAACAAATATAACTGAAGTGTCGCAAAAAATTGATACCGTCTCTGCGGCCATGAGGCGATGTAGTTTGTGTAAAGAACCAAGTTACCAGCCAACCAACCATTTACCAACCAATCAATGGTCGAAAACGTTTTTCAGGGCTGGTGGCCTTTGAAGCCGGCAAGGCGATCATTCAATCGGCAACTACACCGTTCAATCATGGCGGTCACAACACTAACTGGATAATACCTACCAAACAAAGCTAACCCGTTGAAATCATGTCTCAATGCCTCTCAGCCAACGCAACAGTTTACTTCTGAATTTTCTTATTTAAAGGAATCTTGCGCGGAAAATTCTTGCACTCTTTCCTAACATGAATATGTCAGTTGTGATCACTGGAAATAGCACACAAAGTTTCACGCATGAAGATTCGGTTTCTGAAGAGAAACAAACGTACAAAAACTACACGTTATGGACCATCGAAGGGACCAGGAGGCAGAGCCAGGCGAGGCATGGAAAGAAGACGGCGTTTGGCCGGCTACGTACCAGGCGACGCAATGAGAGAATCGGGTTAAAGCGCGCGATTTCGGAGAGTGGAGACAAATCGATCGATGGAATAGGATGGAGTAGAAGTGTAAGATGTGAATGCAACGAAGCAGAAGGCCAGAAAGAGCTTCTAGTGAATGCACTCCAAGAACCAAGTTTGAGCATCCCCGTCGCCAGCATTCGTGAAAGACGTCCGTGGGCAATTCGAACGCGTAGCAGCCTTTTCGAGTTTTCGAATTTCTAATCAAAAACGAAAGCAATACTTCGGTTCTTTTCACTATTATCGTGGATAATGAGTCTCAAGCCAGTGATTTATGGCTGAAATAGAATCATGATTTTTCCGCGCAAGATTCCTTTAATCCAGCCCTCGGAGATTTGTCGGAACACCGGTACAAACCCAAAAAACCGCACGCACCTCTCCCCAACCCCTTCATGCTCACAAAACCCTAGATAAGGTGTCGAATCATCGATTCCGTGGGTAGGATACAGTTGCCCAGGTATTGCTGTAATGCCCTAGCGCTATTGCCTGGCTCTCGAAAAGCAATAGGGCTCCGTGATGTGACACGGCTACGAAGCTAATGGACCGAGGTACTGTCGCTCACAAACCCATCACAAGTCCCCAGGTCACCATCAGAATTTAATTGAGCGAAATGAAGAAAAGGAATTGAATCACAAAGAAATTGATGTTAACAACTTTTCGGGGATACGCCACACATTCGATTTCTTTCAGAATGACTGGGGTAATTGAATAAATGCTGTACTTAAACATACACGTGTAAGACTGTCAGTCAATTTGGTTTTATCAAGCCAAACTAACCGTTTAAACTTGAAATCTATCAAACCTCCGCGATGAAAAGAGAGCTCAACACCGACTCCCCAGGAGACCGAATATTGACATTGCCATTATGAACATGGCCATTAACCGCTGCGCCGTCTCGCTAAATTGGGTAAGGTAGAAAAAGGCACTCTCGCAGGATGCGGGCCATCCTCTGAGACTAATCGTGATAGGGGAAGGAACTCCGGGGAAAATGAAATTTCCTTCACTGTTCCCCTCCCCCTTCAGCCTGTCGTGATTCTAACGAATGAGATTTTAGGGATATTATTTTTTTTAAAATGCATCGCCCCACCATAGCCTCTGATCTTTAGTGATAGCGCCTAAGAAATAACTAAGTTGAATTGACGATTGCAAACTCAATTGCTTTATCTTAACTCTATCTCTATTAAATCATTTCAGTTTTATGATCTTCTTCAAAAGTTATTCATATTATATATATATTATTATGTCATCCTTAACATTTTCATTATTTCTTGCCAAATTAGAAACCTCTGCAAAACTCTCCAAATTGTCATCTGGTTTGTAAAAGTCATCGTTTTGTTAGGATTTTTTTTTTACCAAAATTTCCAACATATAGTCAACGGCATCAACACAACCACTACCACCGTTTCCTGACTGCGAACCAGTACAGCTGCAGAGGGCAGCACTAACGAACAGCACGAGCACTACAAATGGAGCCCTGCATTGAATAATTAGCCTTTATCCATATTTTATTACTGCAAAGATTTATTAGAAGTTGGATGAAGGAAACATGTAATTGGCCAGGAAAGATATATTGTTTTGTTAATCGTAATGGTGTGGATGTCGGATAGAGCTTACCTGTGAAGTTGGTTGTTTTTTCAGGAAGAAGGGGTTCAGAGATATAACTAATATGATTTTAACAACGCCATACAATTTTACATTACATAGAATTGGTGAGTACGATATACGTGGATTGTGAATGCAAATCTCTCTCATGAATCCAAGAGATTTCACTTGCAATTGCCGATGTAGTCGTTCCGCAAGACGATAGCTGGCGCTGCAAGAAAGAGTCGAGTGTGGCGGTCCCTCGCGTGTGTCCCTGCTCTCGGTCAGCAACAACAAACTAATCGCGGCCTGCTGTGGTGGTAGCGCGGAGGCGTCGGTGGCTGGAGCTGCTGGTGTCGCTCTTAGGTGAGTTTATGTTTTATACAAGACCTCATAGTCCTCGTTGCTATCAGCTGTATCGTCTTTGTTTTGTGTTTCCTTGAGGTCGTGCAGTTAGGATTGGCTAGGGTCTGGAGTTTGTGTTTTCATTGAATTTCTGGCTTCTAACCATTTCTTAGGAAGTACTCGCATAAGGGAGCGGTTTTCTTGGGAAGCATTTATGAGAATGTATGATAAGAAAAATAAGAAGAAAGAATTATGAGATATTAGAGAAAAGTGAAAAAAGACAAGGTAAATATGGACAATGTTAGTTTCCCTATACGATGTGCTTCAGGCAAAACATAGTAGAGAAAGGAAAGGAAGCGGTTCCTAAGCCATAATAGGTAGTTGTTACCCTAACTGATATGTAGCACCGTTATGGGTCGGACGTTGAGTTTCTGAGAATTTGCTTCTAACCCTTTCTTAGGGCGTATCGTTTCTTGGCAACATCTAAATGAAAGGTGAAAGGGCCTAGGGCCGCGACACGACAAATTGTATATTGAAGGAGATGGAACTCGTCTTCTGTAGAGGGGATAGGCCCCCGAGGAACAGAGATATGGCGCTTTCGCGGCAAAGTCGGCATGCCGAGCTACCAGAAGGCTCTATAAAACCGCGGCGCTTAGTAACTTTGCGCTCTGCTGTCACTCCCTCTCTCCCCCTATTTAGCTACCCAAGCGCTCGGTTTGCGCCGTCACGTTCCAGCCGCGTTCACTCATGTCAGAGTAATCGTTCAGTGAGACTGTCAGCAGCGATAAACACTCGCAACAAACCAAGCGAAAATTAGCTCGGGAAACAAAGTTCCCCCTGAGTTTAGGTTCTACACGTACACATATGGAAAATCTGCAGAAAATATACGCTTTTTGCTCCTATTTCTTGAGCGATAACGAAGCGTTCAGTTTTTTTTTTCTCCGTTACTGCATCTTTTAGCGGCTCTACTTTCATCAAAAAAGTGGGTTGTCTCGTTATCGTGACACCTCCTTTTAACCTCTTATAGTAACGGGAGGCGCTGCGTCACAGGTCCTTGATCCTGACCCGCAATCTCGCTATGCCACAATCGTTGAAATCTCACTATTCTTGCCTTATGAAATGCCTATAAACTGGAATCATTCGAGTACATTCCCCTCTCCTCCACATGGATTGGTAGCTTACAAGGTACTAGTTAACCAGGCAAGAGATAGGAACGTGCGGTTGGCCCGAGTATAGTATTGGATTCGAGCTCATTCCCGACTTTTGCCTAGTGATGGCGACACCATTGTCACAGCTCCACCTCCGACAAGGAACCTATTGGTGCCGGGGGGGGGGGACCTCGGGTGCTTGGCCATTTATTAAAACGTATAAGTGGATTTCAGTTCGTGGAAGAGGGGGGGGGAGTTGGTTGACTAGCACTGTTATAGCAGAATTGAAATGCGGTAAAGTGTCCAACCTTCCTCTTAACCATTTGAGCTATACAGTAACGAATTTTCTCGGGTACTTTGATTACTGTGATCCAATTTGTAGCGATGATCAGCGCACGGGCACTATCGGAGACGGCATTGGAGTGACAGCGTAGACGTAGACGTGTTCTGAGTTGCTCTGAAATGATTCTAGTCAAGAACAAGCTTTGTCTCACAGCTACGGGATTTCCAGGGCTGTGGAAGTTTTCAGAACGGGCGAATTATCGCGTGTGATTCTCATCTCTCTATGTTTTTGATGTCTTGTGAATAAAGTGTTCTAATGTTATTGCTGGGAAGGTTAGCATCCATCTGCCTGCTGCACGACTGTTGTACCGTACTGCCCTTCTCTTCTCTCTCTGAACCTAATTGTGCACGTTCTTTCTAACCGATCGATTACGCTTCACTTCAGACTCGCTTCACTTCTCTTACTACTCTGATCGGCTGTCAGTGAGTGATTCAGCGACTAAACTTTGGTGTTGGCTTCAATTAACCTAACTCTATACTTGGTTCCGGGTGAGGGCCTGAAGGCGTTATCGCTTCCACTGGGCGTGCGCGGCTTAAGCCGTTTGGACACAGTGAGCACCGAAGTGAGCGTAAATTACGATGTTCCTGCCGCAGTCACGTACAATGCGCGACGCATTGACGCGCTTTTCGGGGTACAGTCGTATGGTTATGCGATCAATGAGGCTACCCGGCTCTCCGGGGCAGCAATCCAAAAATGGACAAGCGTCGCAGCGTTCGCCTTGCCGCTTGCGCTGTGCCCTTTGTCATCCCCGGGTGCCGCCTCACATACGCGAGGCCAATCTGACATGCGTGCCATCCTCCACCTCCTACATGAACGGCGCTCAGTATAGTTGGCGAGTTTGCTCGACGCATTCTCTCTCGTTGAGAGAGCGCAGAGAAAACGAGAAGGGGAGGCGAGCACACGCTTAATGCGTCGCGCATTGTACGTGACTACAGCAGAACATCATAATTCACGCCTTAGTTCGGGTGCTCGCTCGTGTCCAACGGCTTAAAGTGGCGGCGTATACAGCTTGACCCCTTTCTGATATCCGCATTTGTCCGTGCGCGGCGCGTCGCCGCGTTGCGCTCGGATTGCTCTTCATTAGCGCTTCTAACGACAGGATGAATACCAAATAAGAGAAGAGTGGAGAACCGGATTAATCCGCCCCTTCCTCACATGGATCCAGCGTGTATAGGAAACTCACCCAGGTCACTGTGCGACGTCGCGCGCGTGTTTTGCATGCGAGGCAGTTGATTCAAGGGACCACCCCTTTAATTCTTCCCT